GTTTTGATGCAATTTTAGGAAAGTTATCATTAAATATACATCTACAACTAATTAACTTTTGGAATCAATCCAGTTTAAGATGGAAACCACAAGACATCAAAATTAGTTTTAAAAATACTATTAATCAGATATTGATATCATAGAGTCAGAGAGAGAGAGTCAGAGAGTTTCTTTATTGTCATTCGCACCTTATGTGGTACATGTGGTGGAGCGAAATTATGTACACAGGGTCCCAGTTACATCCAACAATAAAATGTAAAAGAAAAACAGTAATAACATCTAAGATATGAACTAAGAAAAACATCAACTAAATATACACTAAGGACTCCTAACATAAAACATTACGTTGAACATCAGCACAACAGACATGAACATGAGTCTGTGTGAGCAGATGAACATGCATGAACACATCAACATTGAAACAGATCAGCAGCAACATGATGTGATTTTTTTTTCACAGTGATTATTCTAGTTAAAGATTCATGAGTCTAACAGCTTCAGGGTAGAAGCTGTTCCTCAGTCTAGTGGTTCTACACTTAATGCTCCTCAACCTCCTTCCTGAGGGGAGTGGGGCAAAAAGTGTGTGTGCTGGGTGAGTAGGGTCCTTCATGATGCAGGTGACCCTCTTCTTGCGTCTAGAGGTGTAGATGCCTGTGATGGTGACTCCAACAGTCTTCTGTGCAGCCTTCACTACTCTCTGCAAAGCTTTTCTTTCTGCAGCTGTGCAGCCTCCATGCCACACATTGATGCTGGAGCACAGAATGCTCTCCACTGCACACCTGTAAAAGGAGGTGAGGACTGAGCTTCCCAGACCAGCTCGTCTCAGCCGTCTGAGGAAGTAGAGTCTCTGATGAGCTTTCTTGATCAGGCTGGTGGTGTTGTTGCTCCAGCTGAGGTTGTCATTCATGTGTACACCCAAGTACTTGTAGCTAGAGACCACTTCCACCGCAGATCCTCTTATGTTCAGGGGGGTGTAGATGTTTTTGTTCCTTCTGAAGTCCACAATCCTCTCCTTTGTCTTCTTCACATTGATGTGAAGGTTGTTCTCTTTGCACCAGCTCTCCCGGTGTTCCACCTCTTGTTTGTAGCTGGACTCATCATTGTTTGTGATGCATCCCACCACGTTGTATCATCTGCAAACTTTACAATGTGACAGCCTGGATGGGTAGCTGCACAATCATACGTGAGCAGAATTAACAGGAGGGGGCTCAACACACATCCCTGAGGAGAGCCAGTGCTGAGGGTTATGGTGGAGGAGGAGAAGTTGTGGATCCTCACTAACCGTGGTCTGTTTGTTAGGAAGTCTAGTACCCAGTTGCAAATGGAGGGGCTTAGTTCTAGTGTGGATAGTTTGTCCATCAGGGTTTGGGGGATCATGGTGTTGAAGGCAGATGTGAAGTCCACAAAGAGCATACGGACATAAGAGGTTTTCTGCTCCAGGTGGTTGAGCGCAGTGTGGACCACAGAGGAGAAGGCATCCTCTGTTGATCGGTTCTCACGGTATGCATACTGATGAGGGTCCTCGTTGATGTTTGTTTTGATGTGAGTCATGACCAGTTTTTCTAAGCATTTAGCGACTATCGGGGTGAGGGCCACTGGCCGATAGTCATTCAGACCAGTCACTGTAGAGCTTTTTGGGACTGGGATGATGGTGGCAGTCTTCAGGCAGGTGGGAACTGTCTCCAGGGTAAGTGAGGTGTTAAAGATGTCTGCCAGCACTTCGCAGAGCTGATCAGCACATTCTTTCAACACTTTTCCAGGGATGTTGTCTGGGCCAGTTGCTTTGTGCAGATTAATCCCCCTGAAAGTACTCCTTACTTCAGCTGAGGTCACGCTGAGATGCTCTTCATCCGGTGGTGAGGTGAGTCTGGTGCTGGGTGGTCTGTTTGGGTCTTCAAAGCGTGCATAGAACTTGTTGAGGGCATCAGGCAGAGATGGGTCTTTGAGGCATTGTTCACTCCTTCCTTTATAATCTGTTATGCACTTAATGCCCCTCCACATGCTCCGAGGGTCTTGTGAGATGAATTGACCCTCAATCCTCTCTGCATATGTGGCCTTGGCCTTCTTAATACCAGCAACCAGCTCTTTCCTTGCCCTACTCAGCTCCTCTGAATTTCCAGACCTGAAGGCAGTGTTCCTGGCTTCCAGCAGGGTGCGCACCTTTGCATTTAGCCAAGGTTTTCTGTTTGGGTAGCTTTTGACATATCTGATGGTGGAGACTGTGTCAGTACATGTACTAATGTAACCCAGAACTGAGGATGTGTATTGGTCCAGATCAAGCGATCCTCCATTTTCAGCAGCTTCTCTGACAATTATATAATAATGATATAATAAATTATATAATTTGAGTCATGGTAGTTGAACGTCATCTCCAACACTTTGTGAGTGTGACATTTCACAACAGTTTTGTTCAAGGTTTGACTTAAACTGATGCAAGCAATGTTTTCATAGATTAATATAAGAGCTCTTAATTTAAAACTCCAGAAAAAATAAACAAAATGTACACATAAACAAACAAAAACAATAATAATAATTGAAGTTAGGTTAGCTCAGATGTTAGTCGTAGTGTGGTTTACACTTGTCTCTCTTATAGTTCCTTTTTTAAAACTTAAATACCATAGAGAAGATGAGCCTGTGGTCGGAAGGTCACTGGTTCAAACTCCTGGACCAACAACATCAAAATGTGGATGGAAAAGGTGAAGCTTTCTGCTCCACTCATTGGGCTGTGGTAGCTCGGTGGTTGTGGCTGTGTCAACAAAGGGCATCTAGCATAAAATCAATTGGCATGTCTTTATGCAAGTTAGTTCACTGAGGTGATCCCTGAGTAAGGGAGCAGCCAAAAGAAGAAAAAAAATCATATATATAAATGTACACACACACACACACACACACACACACACACACACATATATATATATATACATATATACATACGTATATAGTTATGTCAGGCTACAACAGTTTACTACAAAAGCCTGTGGACAATGTACAATTGAGTTCAGTTATGAATGCTAAGCCTTTATGCTTAATATCCGTTGTATTTAATATAATTTAGCATATAATATAATAATTTAATATAATTTATTATTCTTTAATTTTAGCAGCATAGTGGCACAGTTGTTAGAGATGTTGTCTCACAACGAGAAGGTTGCCAGATCGAATCCCAGCCGGAGACCTTCTGGGTGGAGTTTGCATGTTCTCTCTCTGGTTTCCTCCCACAGACCAAAAACATGGATCTTAAACTGACTGGTAACTCTAAATTGTCCCTGGATGTGAGTGAGAGAGTGAATGGTTGTTTGTCTCTGTGTGGCCCTCGCACAGCAATGTCCATATCAGCACCAGCGACCCCCGTGACCTGGAAAGAAAGAAGCGGGTAAAGATAATGGATGTATTTAATAATTTATTTGCACAAGATGCAGCACAGCTCAGAGTTTTTCTGTTGCTGGCAGGATGACTTCAGGGTGCAGAGACAGACATTAAAAAGTGAGCAGAGAGCAGAAAGTAAAAGCTGTGGTTAGATGAACAGAAAGCGGAGCCTCGGAGGGGCTTTGGAAGGATGTTGGAGAATGAGGGGCTAAGTGAGTGAAGGCTGAGACAATGGAAAGGACAGATGAGATGGGGATGTTTCAGAAAATGAAAAATGAAGCAGGGGAGAGATGGATAGGGGGAGGAGGAGGTGGTGAGGGATGTACAGTAGGAGGACAGATGAATGCAGTGATCAGTGCTGGGCTGCAACCTCACTTAGCAACCAGGGGGAAAGAAACATCCCTTTCAGCTCCTGGCTGCGCCTTGGACCATTACACACTCTGACTCTCCATACAGCTGATTTCTGCTTCACATCACAACACACTTTCAGTCTGTAGCTACTAGAGGTACTGATGTTTTTTTTTCTCAATTTGTGTTCATGTTGTTGTCCTTCAAAATATCTCATCAAATCACTGACCTGGATTTCATGAAATGTTCAGAAATAACCATTTCACTCTTGGTCACCTCAATTCAAGATGGCTGCCGTAACTAATCAATGTTAGCCTACACAACAATGGCTATACCTTAGTCAGTGTTACAAACGTTAAGCTCAAATAATGTGTGGTAGTATCTGAGAGTCGTTCACAACATATACACCAAGTGCTAACATTTCGTGCATGGTTTTACGACACACACTTGCAGATTACAGACCATTACTTTTGTATCAGTTAAAAAATTGAGCCAGGGTGACTTTAAATCCATAATTGAAGCCTGTGTCTGTCATGTTGTGTTGGTAAGGAAGCACTGTGGCTCCAACAGCTCCAAGGTAACAAGATCTACTTTGCTCAGCGCAGGCTGGTCCTGCAGAGTCAACTGTTCTGTAATCCTTTTTGCCATTTTCACTTGTAAGCAACATTAATGAAACAGTGAAGCAATGAACAAACAACAAAATACATTACAGAAAGTTTTAGAGAACTTTTTTATTAAAATAATTTTAAAATAGTTAAATAACGATTTTTTAAAAACCTCCATATCCCACAACCGGCCAACTCCTTTGACCAAAAACGATGCCATTTTGAAGCTACCACTGTGTGTGTTTTTTTTTTAAATTGCTATACAATTTTTTTTTTTTTATTTGACAAAAACTGCATTCTGATAATTTGTAAACTAAAAGCTCGTGAGGAGCTTAAATGAAAACAAAAAGATTTTATATATATATATATATATATATATATATATATAAAGAAATATTAAAAATAGTATTTTAAAGCAGTTAAGTGAGGTGGGGGGAGGGTTTTGCATAAGGAACATGTATTGTCATAAACTTAAAGGACCGTTCTGTCTTGTGTTTAAACTTTATAAAGCATCAGTGTGAATAATGCAGAGTCAGCAGTTCATGAACGTTTTGGACCCTGAAGGACCCGGGCGGCTCCAGGTGCAGCAGTACCAGGTGGTGCCGATAGAGGGAGGTAGAGAGGCGCAGAGGGGGCCGGGGTTGGAGACAGTTCTACGCCGGTTGGGGAGCCTCTGGTGCGGGGGAGAGAAAGGAGTCACACACCGAGCGAGGAGGGCTGCTGGGAGCAGGGCGGCGGGCTCATGCGGGGCTTCACTCGGATTTAAACAGTCCAAGGAGGGATCCTGACGGAACCAAATGGATCTTCTTTGGGCCTGGATGTTGATGGCGGCGGAGGTAAATATTGACCGTCATCCTGCAGCGAGAGAGAAGGATGGAGCGTGCGTGTGCGTGTGTCTGACGAGTAAAGGGTGGAGAAAAGGCACATACGTGTCCCGCTAATGTGCGGTAAAATGCAGACAAGGTGCGTTCAGTGCGTGACGGGCTGAGACGATTCGTGCACGCCGACCCAATCAGGACAGGAGGTTTTCAAACATCCAGCCCTCCGTCCGTCCATCGGTCCATCCATGTTCTGGACTTGTGGTGGCTTCGACCCCCCCCCCCCCCCCGTGGGTCTTCCTGTGGCCCGGTCCGGGCTCGGTGAAGCTCCCACCGGGATCGAACCAGCAGCATGTGGGTTCCAGCAGCAGAGCCTGTTCAGAACCTCTGCTGTCCGGTTCCGCTTCAACATAAACATGTCTGACATCATGTTCCTGATGATGAAAGGCTTGTTTCACGGATTAGCCACTTATTACCCGGCCGTGGCCGAAGGGTGTTTCCAGAGACTGTTGTGTTAGCAAAATATCTCACTAGAAACTCGGTCATCACTGGATGAACATCTACCACTCCTGGAATCGGCCCAGTTCAAGATGGCCACCACAGAACATGGCTGTAATTCATATGGAGCTGAAATCTGGGATGGTAGTAGCTGAGAGTCATCCCCAACACGGAGTTCAAACACAAACTGAGCAAGAGCTGCTTTTAAATCTTCACTACTGAGTCAACAGTGTCTGCTGTGTTAGCAAAATATCTCAGGAGCCACAGGATGAATTTTTAAAATGTATACAACTCTGGGCAGCGCAGTGGCTCAGCGGGTAGAGATGTTGCCTCTCAGCGAGAAGGTCGTCAGATCAAATCCTGGCTGGGGGGTCTTTCTGGGTGGAGTTTGCATGTTCTCTCCGTGAATGCATGAGTTTCCTCCCACAGACCAATAACATGCATGTTAGTCTGATTGGTAACTCTAAATTGTCCCTATAGGGTGAGAGAGAGTGAATGGTTGTTTGTCTCGTGTCCCTGTGATGGACTGGAGACCTGTCCACAGTGTCCCCTGCCTCTCGCACAATGACTGCTGGATATGGGCACCAGTGTCACCCCTGACCTGAAAAGGAAAGATGGATGGATGGATGGATGATGGATGGATGGATGGATGGATGGATGGATGGATGGATGGATGGATGGATGATGGATGGATGGATGGATGGCATACAACTCAAAAATGTTGAAATCGTGCTGAATGTGGAAGTTTTGATTTATTTGACAACATGAAAACGGTTCAAACGCCATGAGTTTTACAGACACGGGGTTAAAACCAGTTCTGCTTACAGACAGAGACAGAGGGAACCTCAGCGTGGAGAATCAAACCTGCACGCTGTTGTACCAGACCGCTTCAGATCAGACCAGGTCCCAGGCATGTGCAAAAATCAATGACAGGGGTCAAAGGTCACCTGAAGGCGGTAGTCAGCACTCCCAGTTGATCCAGGAGGGTGATTAATCTGGTTTTGATGCAGCCTCCTGCTGTCTCCAGCTGCTGCTTTTATCTGTCTGTTAGCAAAATATCTCATGAAGACAGACTTTAACAGCAGAAAGTAATTATTATGTAATCAGTGTTTTATAACACAGAAAATGCTTTAACTGCCTCTGTTTTACAGATGTGGAGGTAAAACTTGATCTAGCTGAGAGACATCCCCATCACAGACTCTGAGGGTGACGTCCTGCAATAGAAGGAACATATATTTTTATTTTAATATATTTACGTTTCAACTCTGACTTCAAACATAAGGCAATTTGTCTCAAAGTCTGGGGTGATCGGCGGCAGGTGGTAAGCATTCCTCCAAAGGGAATATTCGACTTTTATTTGTAATTTATCTCTAATAAGCCAGAGTTTAATGGGGTTTCAAAATGAGTGACAATGTAAACTTTAACAAAATAAAAACTTTTGAAAAGATTTCAGAAAATCTCGTTTTTAGACACAACAAAGTTTAAACGAACTGGACTGATTTTTATGAACGGTGCAGATTTTTTTAAATAAATGGGACAAATTATTTATAAAAGGGGCAGATTTTTATAAACAGGTCTGATTTTTATAATTGGGGCTAGAGCTGGGCAATATGGACCAAAATTAATGTCTTGATATTTTTAAGATGAAGTGGCGATGTCAGAGTCAGAGAGATTTATTTGTCATTCGCATCTCATGTGGTACATGTGGTGGAACGCGATTATGTACACAGGGTCCCAGTTACATCCAACAATACATCCATCCATCCATTTTCTTTACCCGCTTGTTCCATTTTGGGTCACGGGGGTCGCCGGTGCCCATGTCCAGCAATCACTGTGCGAGGGGCGGGGTACACCCTGGACGGGTCGCAAGTCCATCACAGGGCCACATAGAGACAAACAAGACAAACAACACTTCACTCTCTCACTCACACCTAGGGACAATTTAGAGTTCCCAATCAGCCTAACATGCATGTTTTTGGTCTGTGGGAGGAAACCGGAGTACCCGGAGAAAACCCACGCATGCACGGAGAGAACATGCAAACTCCACCCAGAAGGCACCTGGACCGGGGTTTGAACCAGGGACCTGCTCGCTGAGAGGCAGCAGCTCTACCAGCTGCGCCACCGTGCTGCCCTCCAACAATACAATGTAAAATAAAAACAGTAATAAGATCTAAGATATGAACTAAGAAAAACATCAGCTAAATAATACACTAAGCACTAATAGCAAAAACAATGCGTCGAACAGCGCACGAACATGAGTCTGTGTGAGCAGATGAGCACGCATGAACACAGCAACATGAAACAGATCAGCAGCAACATGAAACAGATCAGCAGCAACATGAAACAGATCAGCAGCAACATGATGTGATTCTTCACAATGATTATTCTGGTTAGAGATTCGTGAGTCTAACAGTTTCAGGGTAGAAGCTGTTCCTCAGTCTAGTGGTTCTACACTTAATGTTCTTTAACCTCCTGCCTGAGGGAAGTGGGGCAAAAAGTGTGTGTGCTGGGTGAGTGGGGTCCTTCATGGTGCAGATGTCCCTCTTCCTGCATCTAGAGGTGTAGATGTCTCTGATGGTGGGGAGACTGATATACGATATATATATCAATTGTTTTTCCTCCATAAAGTAATAAAAACTATATTTCTGAGTCAAAGTGTAGTTCCAGTTGTCACACAGGCACCTTTATTAACAAACTTTATTTTTGTAACTTTACAAAATAAATGTCTCTAAAATTGGCAGCATGGTGGCGCAACTGGTAGAGCTGCTGCCTCTCAGCGAGCAGGTCCCTGGTTCAAACCCCGGTCCAGGGGCCTTTCTGGGTGGAGTTTGCATGTTCTCTCCGTGCATGCGTGGGTTTTCTCCGGGTACTCCAGTTTCCTCCCACAGACCAAAAACATGCATGTTAGGCTGATTGGTAACTCTAAATTGTCCCTAGGTGTGAGTGAGAGAGTGAATGGTTGTTTGTCTCGTTTGTCTCGTTGTGGCCCTGTGATGGACTTGCGACCCGTCCAGGGTGTACCCCGCCCCTCGCACAGTGATTGCTGGACATGGGCACCAGCGACCCCCGTGACTCAAAAAGTGGAATAAGCGGGTAAAGAAAATGGATGGATGGATGGATGGATGTCTCTAAATTTTTTTTTTTCCCCTGCATAACAAAACCAAAAACACAGCTGTGCACTTAAAATTTAAACTCAGCACACACAGAGCAAACATAATGAAAGGCTGACATGCTGTATTAACAAAGCTGTTAGAAAGCCCACATTGTTGTGTAGTTGGCTTGTTTACTGAGCTAGGTTCTGTTTGGTTATGGCTTGTTTCTTTATGAATTTCATGGTTCCTATGTTCTTGAATGCACCGTGGCTGTTCCGATGCTAGTGAACAAATTGCTCTGTGTAAAGTGACGTGTGCCGTGCGTTGGAGATTTTTCTCTCCTGACACCGCTGGAGCCTTGCTGTTTGAGCTTCTGGTTGCACTTTACTGGTTACTGCTGTGTGTAAATACCAGAAGAAACACAGTAAATAAATCACCGTAAAGCCCTATTCACACAAGATTAGTTTTCCCTAAGAACCACATGTAATTAATAAATTACTCCCAACGTCTGCTTTTTATGTGGCGTGTTCCCACGGGATAACCAAAGCCTGAGATTTATCTGAAATTTATGGACATTTTCTGGATATGATGTTGATGCGCTACGTTGTCACAACTGGGCTGGTCCATATAATGTGTTTACTGTGCGGTCCGGGACGGTCTCAGGCTTTGATGTGGTTTTACGAATCAGCACAAAGAAAACTAAAGAATGCACAATATAAAATTGTGTTAATCTACCTTGTACTTGTTGAGGAGGAGGCAGGTCCAACCGGCCGGTTTAAGTGGTTAAGCTCAGATGGACAGCTGTCACTGGCTGTGCACATGAGCAGCCACACATCCGCTGACCCGCCGGTTGAAATGGACTTGCGACCTGTCCAGGGTGTCCCCTGCCTCTCGCACAGTGATGGCTGGACATGGACACCAGCGACTCCTGCTACCCGAAAAGGAAAAAGTGGGTAAATATAATGGATGGATGGATGGATGGATGGATGTCAGCTGATCATGCGTGCGTCTCCGCACCTGCTGTCATCTGTGGTGACGGAAGTAGCAGCATAAAAGCCGAAGCGAGCAGTGCATTCATTTGAAATTGCCTTGTTCTATATTTTTCCAAATGATTTTGTTTAAACAAAAACCCAAAAATGCCTCATTACGTGTCAGATCCCGCCCATTTCTATCCAAATCACAGAGATGCCTATTCACATTAGATTAATATTATCACAGGACCTCGGAGTTCAGCAAAATATAGTAGGTAATTTGAGGGGGAATTTTTACTTTCCAAATTACTGACATGGCCGATTTGCACGGGATTAACAACACAGACAATCTTCGTAATTATTACAAATAGCATGTGGTCCCTAGGTAAAACTAATCCCGTTCGAATAGGGCTTAAACTGGATATTTGTCTCAGGGTTTTTTTAATGAGAAGACAAC